GAGTGGCCGCTGGTAAGCGGCCGTGCCCGAGGGGAGGCAGCGATGATCAGTATTATCGAGCACACACAACGCAGGCTTCAGCACGCGTGGGTTCGTGGCGGCACGAGAAGGAGGAGGCGTGTAAGGCCCGGAGCCCGGTGGCGACCCCAGCGTCACGGACGTCGGCAGGTTCTCGCCTTGAAGGCGCAGCCCTCAATCCGGACGCCCTAGTAGGAAATACTGGGGATGTGATCGCACGACGACTCGTGAGAATCCGCCTTCAGGGTGATCGTGTCCCATGCCCGTTCCCGATCCTCGAAGGCGGCGGACACTGGGACACGTGATGTGGGACCGCGTGCCGGAGGGCGACGTCTCTCGAAGCATGTACTTACATGATGCGAACGTACGTGATATTGACGTGAGGGAGGAGCTGTTCCATCTTCGCGCCGTCGGGAGAAAATGAAGGACACGTGTTCTGTTCATCGTTGGCGCTCAGAGAGCGCAGCCTCAGAACTGCGTAGCTCACCAGTGCGTCCCAGGTTACCCGGAACTCGGCTGTGTTTGCACGGCCTTTCGCCGTCTGTAGGTTTTTGCTGGGGACATCCCACAGGAAAATGGAATTATTTGGCTCAAGAGAGACCTAACCTTGCTTTCTTTTCTAAAGAAAAAATTACCGAATGTATTGGGGGGGACATTGGGGCAATAAAATTGTGTAGGTTTTGGGGGTAGAATTGATTGATAATCCGTCACCTGTATAGTGTGTGGTGTGTTAATTTCCTAGGAGGGAGATGGAAAGAGAGAGAGAGAGAGAGAGAGAGAGAGAGAGAGAAACATCAATGAGGACAGGGAATCATGGACCGGCTGCCTCCTGCACGCCCTCTACTGGGGATGGAGCCCGCAACCCGGGCCTGTGCCCTTGACCGGGATTCGAACCCTGACCTCCTGGCTCCATCAGAGGTCGACGTTCAACCCCGGAGCCCCGCCGGCCGGGCTGTTTTTACCCCTTTTATTCCCAGCATTTCAACGGTGACACGTGCACAGGCATCCATTCGTCGAAGAGGTCAGTACGACGGCGTGAAGACCAGAGCCGGGGCGATGAAGGAGCCAGCCGGGAAGCGGACCGGGGGCCGCCTGATGGCAGGGTCCAGGGAGGAGGGGGGAACGGAAACGGGGACCGCATCTCGCCGGCGTCGGAAGAGAGTTCCGTGTAACACGCGTGCATTCCAGTGAGGGTCCACCCAACCCTGTTGTCATGGTAACTCGCTGGGAGTTCAAATAAAGTCCCCCTTGGCCACGAAGGACGCTGGGATCCGTGCTCTCTTTTCTCCACGCGACTCGGTTCAGCACGCGTGTGGCGTGTGCGCCGCACGCGAATTCCAGCTCAAGGGACGCTTGCGGAGTCCCTAGGGCATGCGTGTCACACGCACAGGCAAACACGGGCCAAATACACAAGGTTTGCGTGTACGTGGGCCGCAAACCAACCAAAAGCTTCTATTTTCGCAGAAACGTAGGTTTGTTGCAATAGAGACGTGCTGAAGGCAAAGGGCTGAAATAAAGGAGTCGTCGTGAACATAAAATAATAGGACATTTTAACAAAAATCAATGTTTTTTTCTTGAACATGAACTTACCAGACACGGAATAACAGCATCAATGAATAAATGTCACGCAGATAAACCCGTTTTTCTCGTTCTCCGAAAGCGAGAGATTTCCCGTTGCGCACACCAAGCAAGTCAGTCCGAGACGAAGGACGCGGCCCTCGGCTGCTAGAACATTCGCTGCCGGTATCAGTGGGGAGAGATGGTGCGCCTGCGTGTAAGGCGGGTGGGGGAGACAAATGCAACACGATTAGAGTCATCGGTCATTAGCGAACGTTGTGGTTTGTGATTAATAATGATGTACAACATGATAGTGTAAAAATTGAGAAAACTTGTATTAAAACGTTTCTTACATGCCGTCCTATCGGCTGGGCCGCAGAAATATTCATTGTGGGCGCATGCGGCCGGCAGGCCGCGAGTTTGACATGCTTGGCCTCGGGCAGGGGTGGGCAACCTTTGTGTGCGTGCGTGCCCAAACCAGCAAAATCTCTGACTCAAAATGCTTCTGCGTGCCAACCCTAATTTTTTGAGAACATGTTAGGCCTACTTGATATCACTCTTTTTTTTTTATTAAAATATATTTTATTGATTTTTTTACAGAGAGGAAGGGAGAGGGATAGAGAGTTAGAAACATCGATGAGAGAGATCGATCAGCTGCCTCCTGCACACCCCC